AAACTGGCACCGCCCTGGGACCTATGTACAGATGAGCGACTTCAGGGCCATCATGGCCCTCTTGTTTAAATTTCACTAGTGGTTTATCAGAATATAATCATCTAATATATTATAGTAAAACACTGTAAAGCATGAAATAAGTTGTTTTTGTTCCATGTCGTGCTTTGAGGGTACCTATGTGTTAAAAAAAGAGAGTGTACTTGTGATATAAAAATTCAAATTAAGACAGGTAGCCCGTGCCGCTGCAAAACCGAAAGTAGGGTGTTTTTATGAATTTCTCTTTTATTTTTGACAATAATTATATACTGCCATTTGTCGGAAGATGATATGAATATGAACATATTAAATATGTATGATGCATATATAATCAAGCCACAGGTTCATTTCAGCCCGAACAATATATGTCGAGGTGATGGACGAGACAAGACATGTCGATTTTTTGTAGCTTATTGTGAAGGTGTAGTACATGAAAATCGGCACATGACAAATCAGCACATAAATAAAACATTCTAGTGTTCCGTGGTATACATCTTTTCTACATGTCATACCTCCTTTCCTTATTACAATGAAATTTTACTGGATTGTTATCCATCGCTGGTTTGTTTTTAGCAGAGAATGACCTGTGTATGTTCAGAGAGGGTACCGTTTGAGCAGATTTCGCAAAGAGGGTACCGAGATGGATATGCACCGTGATGTTTGTTTTTAAACTTTTCCACACAACGAGCATGCTTAATGAAGAAACTCAATGATTTTAAAGCACCGTTTTATATGAAGATGAACAAGCGGTAAAAAACACCTCCATCATGCCTCCATATATTGGTTGTCGTGAGTTCTTGACACCATCTTTTTTGTAAGAATTCTGCCACGTTCTTTGTTAATTGAGTATTGGTGAAAGAGGCATTTAAGACATAAGCCGATTTAGGCAGTACAAGTGAATGCACTTTATTCAAGCACTAAAGCAGCTGACCACCAAACATGGGTTGGAGTCTTTGTTTTACACAAAAAAAAAAAAAAAAAAAAAAAAAAACATACATATACACATACTGTCATACATATATTGTTTTTCAGACCCATATTCACCAGAAATTTGAAAATTTGCATGTTTATACATATCGTCATTGATGTTTCAAGCCAACATAGTTCATGTCTTACATTGATATCAGTTTTAAACGTTTTTTCCAGTTTTCATCTTCCTCCGTTTTAAGTCGTACATATGTATACATTTTAGAAAAATCAGACATCTAGATGCGGTTTGTCACCAAAGCCTTTGGCAATACAATTATTTGAAGTTTTTTTTTCTACGGATAAACCACTGCTTCTATCAACCGAATTTCATTATATTACACGGTATATTTATTTCATTATTAGAAAAGGAAGTTGACGTCCATATATTGTTTGTCGTTTAAGGTAGTATACACTAAACCTTGCAGGTACATCAAAAGGCATTCGAAACAATTTAGGCAGTATAAGGGATAACCTAAATTATTGCTTATTAAATATGACAACACGTTCAGCACTTTATCCAGAGACTTTTATTCAGGCACTGAAGCAAGTGACCTCCTTACATGGGTTATCGTCATGTGTGATTTACCCAAGCAAATTTATATTTATTGTATTTGACTGGATACATTTATACCTGCTATTAATGTAGTTGCAGGTCATAAAAAATCTTCAGTAAATGTAGGTAGATAATAATTATTGTCGTCATTCATAAACCCTATCAGTTCCTAACTTTTTTTTTTACATTCATGTTTATTAACGCATTCAAACGAGATTCAAGCAGGTTTAAGCAGTGTAAGTTATAACCTCTAAATGCTGTACGTATATATCGCCTTCAGTCGGGCACCGAAGGAGGTGACCTCCAAAAGTGGGTTGTCGTTCAAATATATAATTGTTGTTGTATATGATTGGATCTTTACAAACGTGTCCTTTTAGTAATCTTATTTCATAAAGCACATATATACAAGAAGATTTTATATACAAAAACACAACAATGCTTGTTGTCATTGTTTCCATATGACTTTCCCTAGTAATTTAAAAATCTGCTATGTCTACAATTGGACTTATTTAAATTCAATGAAAGTAAAAACGATACTCACACACACGCGCACACACACACACACAAACACACGCACGCACGCACGCACGCACACACACACACACACACACATGTCGACATTGCTGATGAAAACCAACATAGTTCAAGTATTATATTGATTTAGATTTTAAACGGTATTTTCCAGTTTTCTTCTTCCGTCTTAAGAAGTACACATTAAGGGAAAATTGAGACATTAAAATGCCGACATAAACACTTGTCTATGGATAAACCATGGATTCAATCCACAAGTTTTCATTTATTCTCCCCCCCCCCCCCTACCCCCATCTTATGCTTATTAACCGATTCAAACCACATTCAAGCCAATTTATGCAGTGTTAGTTGTAATAAACACTCCTTTTCCAAAGCAAGTACATGTAAATGTAAGTTATGTATTGCACTTCAGTCAGGCATCGAAGCAGTTGACCTCCAAAAGCGGGTTGTCCTTTTACCCAAATTTACATGTTCTTAACGTAATCTTAGCTTATTAAGTACATGTTATACCAGAAGATTGTAAAGTAAATGTATATACATGTAGATTTTAAAATTTTAAACCCGCAGACCTTACATCCGTATATTGGTTGTTAACATAATTGTCACTGTTTTTACAACCTCATTTTATGAATTCAAAAGTTCGCTATTCATAAACTTGCCATTGTTTGCATTATTATATAAAATGGCTAAACACGTAATAGAATAAATAAAGTGAATATACATGATCATAAGATTTCTCCACATCCAGATACTGGCTGTCAGAATTGCATTTAACAATGCACTTTTCTAATTTAGATAGCACTTTATACAGGTACTGGGGCAGGTGACCTCCATACACGGGTTGTCGTCTTCATTTTACCCAAGACAAACTATTTATTGGTGTAATTGGTTGAATCCTTTAAAAATTGGTTTGCCTTCGCCTCAAATGTCGACAATTTATGTAAATTCACTTAATGATAGTCATATCATAATGAGTCGCTTCTGGATGACGCTGGAAGAGCCTAGATTGACCCATGCAGAGCCCCGGTCGATCCAGGCAGAGCCCAGGACGATCCAGGCAGAGCCCCCTAAGCTAGAATCCCAGTGGATTGAAAACGCGCGAGAACATGATTACATGATTACATTGATCAATACATAATTTTATTTAATATAAAGAACAGTAATGCATGATGATTTTCTGAAAAATCCTTACGCAAGACTGGATATAATGGAAATGGGAAGGTAAAACAAACAAGTGCAATCATCGCAAATTGTCGTGGTTCTTTTGGAATCAAACCGGACTTTATCGGGGCTCTACCGGGATCAACCTTAGCTCCATCGTCATCCTCCGGGGCTCTGACTGCATTCTCCGAGGCTCTGCTGGCATTCTCCGGGGCTCTGCCAGCATTCACAAGGGCTCTGCCGTACGTAGCTCTACCGGCTATATCATACCCCGGATCATACCCGGTTTTTGCCGACAGAGCTATGGTGCTTCCCCGGTGTAACCCCGGTCGTTCCCGGCAGGGCAAAGCTATACTCCCCGGGTTATCACGGACCATCCCGGTGATATTAGATATTTTTTTTATTTCCGGGGTCGAATGCCAGATGTACCAGGATCATCCCGGACGTTGCTGGCAGAGTTATGGATGTATTCCGGCCGTTCCCAGATCACCTGGACGTCTACCGGGGCTTTGCCGGGATGTAAGTGAGACTGTAGCTTAAATTATGTACTGCACTTCAGTCAGGCATCGAAGCAGTTGACCTCCAAAAGCGGGTTGTCCTTTTACCCAAATTTACATGTTCTTAACGTAATCTTAGCTTATTAAGTACATGTTATACCAGAAGATTGTAAAGTAAATGTATATACATGTAAATTTTAAAATTTTTAACCCGCAGACCTTACATCCGTATATTGGTTGTTGACATAATTGTCAATATTTTCATAACCTCATTTATGAATCAAAAGTTCACTATTCCTAAACTTGCATTATTTGTAAAAAAAGAAGGTTCATATGTAATGGCTATACACGTAATAGAATAAATGGAGTTAATATACAAGTAAAGTACATGATTTTACATTCAGACATTAAACTTGTCTACATCCAGATACTGGCTGTCAGAATTGCATTTAACAATGCACTTTTCTAGGGATACATCATTCAGTTTACAGTCTAACCCGGTAGGCTATACACTTTATATGATCGTATAAGGGTATAAAAAGATGAACCTCCATATATTGGTTGTCGTCATTGATATATAATTATACTCTATCAGATTATGGGCGAACTGTTTTTCATGTTTAATTATTACAGGTAACATGCGTTAGGGGTGTAATTGATTACCTACAATTACTTATTATTGGTGATACATTCGGAAGCATGTACATCTCAAGTTTAGATTGCACTTTATTTAGGTACTGTGGCAGGTGACCACCATACACGGGTTGTCGTCTTTATTTTACCCAAGACAAACTATTTATTGGTGTAATTGATTGAACCCTTTAAAAAAATTGGTTTGCCTTCACCTCAAATGACGACAATTTATGTAAATTCACTTAATAATAGTCATAACATAATGTGTTTTGTAAGTGCATAAATATACAAAGCAACTAAAAGTATACAATTTCACAATTATTAGCGTTATAATATACAGTAGAGACACGCACATATAGTTTCGTGATGCTATAAGTTGCTTTGAAAACATAACTTCAATTCAACGTAGATCTAATATTGCGATATAATTAGTTTTCTTTATTAAAATAAAAACTGATGGAGAAATAAAAGTACATTTCGCATATTTACGTCCCTTTCCATTCACTATAGCAGCGTTCACTCAGACGCTCTTTAACATTCGCGCTAAAAAAAACGCTTATAATAGTAAACTCCGCCTTACTCCAGGAAAGGGATGTCTTATAGCCTCCACCGTCCTAGATTTCCTGACTTATAAATATCCGAGATAACACATATACATCTCATTATGACAGAGCCTGCGCAGAAGAAAACAGCAATGTCATCTCTAGACCAGTTGAAAACATTCACGACAGTTGTCGCTGATTCTGGTGACATCGATGGTGAGTTGTGCTGTTGGTTGTCTTCTTGTTCTTCACAGAATTTATCTGTCATGTTTGAACAGTGTTGAAATGCTGAAAATTAAGTGGGAAATGTTTTTAAAATAATTTTCATATTTTATAAAGAATTATGTCATCATGCACAATTATTTTCCATTCAATTTATGTATTTATGAGTGGAGAAATAAACAAAATCTTGTTTTAACACTGGAATCAATGATAATTTAGCGGCCATAATTTAGTTTTTTAAATGGCTACTGGTTGGGGACCACCAAAACCGGACAACCACCAAACCCGGACGGCCCCGAAAATGCTTGATTTAGAATTTTCTTTGTTCAGTGGTTGTCAGTCACTTTTTTATCAACAATAAATGCATGTTTCTTCTATAATTAAGTAAATAAATTTATTTCAACCTCCGTAAATGGTAATATTTTAATGTCTATTTCAAGAATGTTGACGTTGAAATTTGGGGGTCAAGAAAGCAATGCCTGACCTCATACAACAGCAATAATTATTTGCAAAGTAAACAATAGAATATCCAAAACTTCAGCATTTGCTGCTGAAATATTGTGTGTCATGTTAAAATAAAAAAAAGAACACCAAAGCTTTTATCTGAATTAAATCAACATTATTACATATCTGTCCGGACACATGGTACTGTAGTATGTACAATTTAGGTAATTTTGATACCCTCCTTGACGGGCCTTGGATATAAGTGTCAACATAATCAGAACTAAACAAACTAGTTTGTTAGTTAGGAGAAGAACCTAGCTGTACTGTGTCAAATTTTTGTACCTTTAGCTTTAAAATTATGAAATTTGTATAGAAAAATGTTCAAAAAGTGTCCGGTTGATGGTCCATGACCAGTACATAAACTTTGATAAAGATGTTATATTCTTTTTGGAATGGATGTTTTGATAGATTCAGAACGGTATAATTTTATGTACTGTATTGGACATGCATTTGTTGGATATTATATTTTAATATTGTTCACATTTAGAAGTTTCCAAGAGCACTGTTTTTTAATAGTCTTGTAATATAGACGTTATCGTTAGTACTACGTATACTCCAACGTCTCATCGACTTCTTCATAAGTTCCTTTAGCAGAATGCGCCCACATGTATACAGGTAAAATGGCTGAATGTATATAGCGGTGAAAGTGGTATTAATTAAGATAAGATAAGATAAGTTTTATTTCAAGTCGGCAAGTTTTCAAATTGTACATGTATTGAATTGGATTTATTTACATTCGAAGGTGAGTCATTTATTTTTTTTGCTGCACATTGATGCAAAAATGTTAAAATTTACTGTCTTTATCTTTTGACTCAAAATATTGTTTTTGCAAAATATTGTTTTTGTAGTAAATTGGTTTATATAGCGCTTCAAATTCGCTGCACGTTTTGCTAAAGGAACTTATGAAGAAGTCGATAAGACGTTGGAGTGTACGTAGTAATAACGGAAACGTCTTATGTTATAGGACTATGCTTTTTAACTGTGAAAATAATATACATAGAATCTAGTTCTGGCTTGTAAAATTATATTCTGCAATTCAATATTTGTTCTTTATAAAATTTTGCCAGTCACAACATAAACAGCTGAAGACATTAAGCTAGTAAACCTACATGTAGTTCATTAAATCATAGGGGAGTGCTTGAAGCTTAAATAAAGATATACATGTACATTATTTCTTGGGGTGCTAAGGCATGCTCAAAAAATAAAATAAAAATGGGACTGGAAAGACACAGGGCAATCTTGTGGTATCTGAGGATGAAAACGGTTTCATTATAATTTATGCAGGACAATTTTACTACTTTATATCAATTCAATATAGTTGCGAAAAAAGTTTTGATAATCATAAGGTGGAATTGATGTAATTTCACCTTTTTAAATCAGGTAAGGCAGATTTTAATTAAATTTTTGCAGAGTTAGATTATAGATTTTTGTAGTGGTTTTGCCACATACATACATGACTGTGTATGCTAAGGTCAATGTTCCTGGATCTTGGACATTGTATTCTTACTTAGAGATTTAAGTCCTACACAGTGGCATCTCTTAGCCTATAAGTTTTCATGAAGGGTTGTGGTAAATTATATGTATATGAATAGAATCAGCAATATTTTCATGTACAATTACATGAAATCTAGAAAGACTTGGTTTCTTTTATATGCCATTTCATGGTTGATTGCTGAAGCATTTAATTCATCTGTAGAACTTATACTGTTTTTCACATTGAAAGTGATTGTGACTCCATGTCTATTTTATCTATTACCATAAGAAAAAAATATTATAAAAATCATGAAACTTTAGTTAGTTAATATTGTTCTGAGTTAATATTGTTCTGAGTTCAATAAGTGAATATATTAAGTTTTATAAACCAGTAAATTAAAATACAATGTCCATAGAACAATACAATTTCACATTTCGTGATATGGAGCACAGAGAGTACATAAATTATATGAGTATTTTAGTACCACAGTTACTGTGACATATTTTGTTCAATAATATTTACCTTCATATTAGGACTTCACTTCCCTCTTCCACAAAATTCATCTTGGATTTAAAGAATGATTATAGTTAAAAGTTTTCTCCAGTATTAAATCTAGCTTTCTTGTAAATATTTTCAAAACCATCACATATTTGTACTTTGGACAAATGTTTATCATGCGAATGGTTTATCATGTGAATGAACATTAAGTTGATTTTGGGAACAAGCTCTTTGGATTTGCTCTTCAAAAATCTTTTTAAAATAAAAATTATCATCATTGTATACCCTTCATCTTTATTTAAGCTTGTTTATACTATTGACTGGCCTTTTTTTGTCAAAAGTATGATAAACTCATTATCGTTATTTCAAAACTTTAAAAAAAAACTGCGTCTTTATTTCTTATGTACCATACGATCCATGTACATGTTTTCCCTTATTTAAGAAGCTCTAGTTGTTTTTAAAATGTATAGAGACAAAATATTAGTTCTTTCACCATAGGGGCTTCCTGGACATGATTTTACCTCCTGTCATGATATAAAGATATAGAATATTCTATGTCTTTTACATGTATATGGTTGAGATATTGAATATTGGTCCCTTTTAATTTATATGATACAGAGATACGGTATTTTCCACTTTTATTTTGATCTTATACAGATATTTTCCTGTTTTCATATAATATTCCCTTGTTTTCATTATTTTCCAATTTTGATTATTGAGACATAATATAAGTTTCTTTCATATGGAGAACCCTTTCTATGTAGTAGCAAAAAGTAGTTTTAGTTCATTTAGGATGGTATATACGTTAGCCCACAGCGATTGAAAGGATCCTAGTTGTTTTGTTACATTATTTATTTTTTGTATTAATATTATCATAACAATGGCTATGAATTTAATGTGCATATATATTATACATTATATTTGTGGTTATCTATTTTTTTTTTTAATTTTAAGTTTTACCTGTAAAATTTTGTTTAAACTTTCATTTACATGTACTATAAACGAAACAGGATATTGGTAGACTGTTCAACCCGGATATATTTTTGAAATGTGATCTTACCTCAAGTTAAATGTCACAGATTTTCAAAAGATCAGTTACGTAAATAAAAGGATATGTAGTGTATATGTGTCACAGTGTGTATGGGTGATAGTTTCTCTTTATCAAATCCTCCATTGTCTACTCAGGTGTGACATTTCAGAAATATTAGTTAATTTTCATCATTAAATTACAAAACAGGATCTATATCATTTACATAAAATGTAATTTATGATGAAAATATGTTATGTATGTAACTAAAAACAAAACATTTATTTATATGTAAATGAATGAAAGTAAATTAAATGTACTAAAAAGTGTTTTTTTAAATTAATTGATAAGTGAAATACATGTACATGTTTGTTGATGTTTTTTTATACAAATGTGCTTACTTAAATCTTTATTTTCAAAAACAGACATTTCTAAAAACTGAGCAAAATTCTACCAATGTAAATGCAAATCAACTAGAGAGACGCAAACACCTGCTTCCAATATAAATAAAAAATTATGAAAGTTAGTGCTGAAATATTTGCATTTGACTTTTAAGTTTTCTTAAGGATAGAAACTAACATATAATTCTTTTATCGATCTATCCTAGAAATACAAATGTGACAGTTGATTGTTTCAGGAATAAATAAATAAATAATTCTGAGGGTGTCACAGTTGTTAATGATATTTTATTGTTTGTAGGTTCACTTCAATAGATCTAGTTGTAATAAAAAGGGTGTCCTGACTGTAAATAAAGATGAGTTCAATTCTTGTATCAAGGATGACTTGAAACCATCCTTCTCTAACAATTTCCCTGACCGAAGTGAATATTTTTTACAAATCCCGCCAAACGTGAAAAAATGAGATGTTATTTATTTGTAGCCAATGAAACTTGTTAATTTTGACCTCTCAATCAAAGGTTAGCGTTTATTAGATTTAGTTGTCATGAAATTTTAATGATTGAAAGGGATGAGGCCACTAAATTCAGGTCAGACTCATCTATATAAATTACACACTGTAACACAAATTTAATTGAATGCTACCATAGACATTTATATTTATGTATTAATACTTTAGTTACTATTATATATACTTATAATAGTAAAAAAATTTATGGTATTTTAAAGTCATTATGGCAAGATTTAGGACATTATGCAATTTTGGCTGCCTTGCTACTGGGCATTATTTTTCCATAAAAGGCAAGTGAATGAGCGTACATGCAAAATGACGTAATCAACTCTCAGTGACTTTCAAGATGGCTGCTGTCGTTAAATGAACTGCAGTCACTTGCACGCAAAAAATTTAAGTTTAGATGACATATTAACCTCTAATTTTACATTACCATCTATTTATACATTTTACATTACTATCTATTTATACATTTTACATTACAGTCATTGGACAGTACAAACCAACAGATGCTACTACGAATCCGTCCCTCATTCTGGCCGCGGCCAAAATGCCTCAATACAAACATCTCATCGACGATGCTATCACATACGCCAAGGCAGCCAGCAAGTTAGTTATTTTTATTTTTTTTATGTCCCCCACTAAATTTGTATAATGGACTAGACATGCTATTATTTTAGAAGTGTGCATTGCTAGGTTTGAGGAATGTTTCATGACCATATTGCTATTGAGCAGCAGTATGTGGCCTGATCATACGGTTACAACATGGAAATGTTGGTTTGATATTTGATAGTTAAAGTATTGTTCTTTAAACCTGGGGATCTTTAGGGTTCAAGTCCTACTTATGTCATGACCATGTTTCCTCATATGGTATCAGTACTGGTAAGTTCCAGGAAATGGACTTGAGAATGAAATTCCTTATATGGTACCAGTACTGATAAGTTCCAGGAAGTTGACTTGAGAGTGGTTTGGATTCCTTATATGGTACCAGTACGGGTTAGTTCCAGGAAGCTGACTCGAGGGTGGTTCAAAATAAGCGTTGCAACTTTTCATTACAATAAAGCTTAAAGAAAGCTTTTGCAATCTGTTTCTGCTCCATACTTTTGACATAGACAAATGATTGACATCGTTGCCAGGATTTAGAAGATTTAAGTGGAATTTTGTCACTTCATTTGAATCAATTGCCCCTAAGCCCATTGAGCATAAATTCAGCAATAAATCATAAATAATTTTGGGTACTAACTAATGGACGATTGAAGGGCTGTCATTAAATATCGCAATATCGATAATTTGATATATCATCGATATCCATCATCTGATACAATATTGATACACATTTTCAAATATCGATACAAGCTAAAATTTGTATACCTCTCTTTTTTGCCTAATTAGAGAAGTCATTTTTTTCCAGTTTTTTTGGCTAACTTGAACTTTAAACTCTGTTTTCAAGTGTAAGTGACAAAAAGAGAAGAAAAAACACTTTCTGTTAGTTTGTTGTATTTGTAATGTTTAATACAAGAATGCATAACACCATGATCCCAATTTATAACACATTTTTAAATGTATTTAATTGTACATTTTTTGTATCTACTGTCAAAGTCGATATATCGTCGATATTTGTCTCTTGATGTATCGATACAAAATTTCCCATCAATGACAGCCCTAGACGATTGATGGTTCTATAATCATTCTGGTTACTTGTGCTTGTTATTTAATACTGTTAGAGGCACCTATGGTCAGCATCGAGCAGTAAAGCTGGAAAATTGCATCTTTATATATGCTAGTGGACAATGTTGTCATGTTTCTAAAACTAACATCATCTGCCTAGAAAACCAACATGCTAACTGATCTTTTTAGTGACCAGAAGTTAAGAAAGATAGAAAAATCAGATGTTTTTTACACCGATATTTGAAATCTGGAGTAATAACATGTATTCACAAGGCAGTATACATTGGCAGGCTGGTTTAGAAGGACTGAAACAGCTTATGCACCCCATAAATTTACTCTTTTCACCCCATTTATTTTTAATGATGATATATTTATATCAATTGTTCTCAGAAATAGCCTATAATGTAAGATATTGTCAATTAGTTAAAAAAGATCCAAAGTCATTGATACTTAAAATACCTAGTTTAGATGTAAGCCTTAAATTTTGAAAGATATTATAACTGATACTTTCTGTTTTATTTCAGTGACCTATCTGGACAGCTGGAAGCTGCCATGGACAAAGTTTTTGTTAACTTTGGAAATGAGATCTTAAAAATTATCCCTGGACGTGTGTCAACAGAGGTGGATGCAAGGTGTGAATTGATTATGCCCCCATTTCCAAGAAAAGGGGGTATATTGCTTTGCACTTGTCGGTCCGTCGGTCCGTCGGTCCGTTGGTCCGTCGGTCCGTCGGTCCGTAGACCAAATGGTTTCCGAGTGATAACTAAAGAACCCTTAGGCCTAGGAACTTCAAACTTGGTATGGTGATTGGTCATGACCAGTAGATGACCCCTATTGATTTTGGGGTCAAGGGGTCAAAGGTCAAGGTCACATTGACCTTGTAAGCAAAAACGGTTTCCGATCAATAACTAAAGAACCTTAAGGCCTAGGAACTTCAAACTTGGTATGGTGATTGGTCATGACCAGTAGATGACCCCTATTGATTTTGGGGTCAAGGGGTCAAAGGTCAAGGTCACATTGACCTTGTAAGCAAAAAAACGGTTTCCGATCAATAACTAAAGAACCTTAAGGCCTAGGAACTTCAAAACTTGGTATGGTGATTGGCCATGAACAGTAGATGACCCCTATTGATTTTGGGGTCAAGGGGTCAAAGGTCAAGGTCACATTGACCTTGATAGCAAAAACGGTTTCCGATCAATAACTAAAGAACTTTAAGGCCTAGGAACTTCAAACTTAGTATGGTGATTGGTCATGATCAGTAGATGATCCCTATTGATTTTGGGGTCAAGGGGTCAAAGGTCAAGGTCACATTGACCTTGTAAGCAAAAACGTGTTTCGATCAATAACTAAAGAACTTTAAGGCCTAGGAACTTCAAACCTGGTATGGTGATTGGTCATGATCAGTAGATGACCCCTATTGATTTTGGGGTCAAGGGGTCAAAGGTCAAGGTCACATTGACCTTGTAAGCAATAACAGTTTCCGATCAATAACTAAAGAACTTTAAGGCTTAGGAACTTCAAACTTGGTATGGTGATTGGTCATGATCAGTAGATGACCCCTATTGATTTTGGGGTCAAGGGGTCAAAGGTCAAGGTCACATTGACCTCTTAGGTAAAAACGGTTTCCAATTAATAGCTAAAGAACCCTTAGGCCTAAGGACTTCAAACTTGATATGGTGATTGGTCATGATCAGTAGATGACCCCTATTGAATTTGGGGTCAAGGGGTCAAAGGTCAAGGTCACATTGAACTCTTAGGTAAAAACGGTTTCCTATCAATAACTAAAGACCCCTTAGGCCTAGGAACTTCAAACTTGGTATGGTGATTGGTCATGACCAGTAGATGACCCCTATTGATATTGGGGTTAAGGGGTCAAATGGCAAGGTCACATTGACCTTGTAGGTAAAAATGCTTTCAAATCAATAACTTAAGAACCCTTTGGCCTAGGAACTTCAAACATGGTATGGTGATTGGTCATGACCAGCAGATGACCTATTGATTTTGGGTCAAGGGGTCAAAGGTCAAGGTCACATTGAGGTTGTATGTTAAAACGGTTTCCGATCAATTAACTAAAAACGCTTAGGCCTAGGAACTTCAAACTTTGTATGATGATTGGTCGTGACCAGCATATGACCCCTATTGAGTTTTGGGTCAAGGGGTCAAAGGTTAAGGTCATGACCAGTAGATACTTGATAACCCTTATTAATTGTTTAATCACTGGGTCAGAAGTCATGCATAATAACCTTATCACATGACTAATTGGCTGCTGATAGGGGGCATACATGTTTTACAAACATATCTTGTTTTTTGTTTGTTTTTGTCTTAATTGAAAAAAAATGTTAAAACATATAGGGAAATGTCATTGAATCTTGCATATAGATCGTTTAAACTTCAAGATGCTAACTCCAAAAGTGATTAGCCTTTGCCACCAGTATAGAGCCTGGTCTGCCTTCACTTCCATGTATCCTAAGCTAGCTAGCTTGCTCTGTAATGGTTGCTGACTTAAACAAAATATATGAGCTGTGTCATGACAAAACCAACATAATGGGTTTGCGACCAGCATGGATCCAGACCAGCCTGCCCATCCACGCAGTCTGATCAGGATCCATGTTGTTTGCTTCCAGTTTCTCTACTTGGAGTAGGGTTGGTAAGCGAACAGCATTTCTTTGATCAAGTTTGATCAATGATGTATAGTTAAATAAAAGAGGGCAACATAATGGGTTGTATATAATGAATTGATATCATTTTCAAAAGGCCTAGTGTATGCTTAAGATGATAAATAGAAAACATGAGTAGAGCTATAAATAGTATTAACTACATGGTATTTAGTTGTAAAATAACTAATTTATAACAGTTTGTACTTGATACTTGCATGTAGTTGTAAAGTTTTGCTGTTTGTTGGTGATAAAAGGTAATTGACACATTATAAACATGTAAAATCTACAGGTCAAGATCATATCTGTCTAATTTACATAATTATACCTGATGTAAATTACCAAGAGGTTTGTCCGCAATTTATTTACTTTGCTTGATAATGATAATTAGTGTTAAAATATTTAGGCTTTAGAATTTATTATTTTAATTTTTTATTAATTTTTAATTTTTTTTTTATATTTTATTGTGTTTAAATGAATACTATTTCTTTTAATTAAGAATTCTTGAGTGACAGCGTGGCCGAGTGGTTAACGCGTCGTGTTGTAATCTAAGGATTGCTAACTGCGTGGTTTCAAACCCTGTCAGGGGCAAGCTGTTGTTTTCTTGTGCAAGAAACTTTACATTCATTGCTTAGTACTTGTTGGTTCCAGGAATGGATTTGAGAGTCTTTCAATAAGCTTATAGCTTTCAACACAATCAATCTAAATTAATTTGCATAAACTAATTAAGATTTCAAAAGCAAAAGCATCTAGAGGGTTTGATCCATTGTGTCAACACTTTTTGTAAAGTAATCAATTATACATGTATTATATTTCTTTATGGGAAACTATTATATAAAATTTTAAGGGAGAAAATAATTTCATGTGTACATTTAAAATATAAGGGGAGATATGAATATAAACATACATGTATAACTTTAAAGGAGATAATAATGTAACATATAATTGTAAGGGAGATAATTATATAGCCTATAAATGAAAGGGAGGTAATAAGCATGCATATAATTAAAAGGGAGATGATGCTAAATATGAGCTGATACTGTATCATATGAATTTAATGGAGGTTATCATTTTAAGATATGATTTTGTGGCTAGATAATGCTATAAGATATGATGTTTACAAATTAAATGATGTAATATAATTAAAAGGTAGATAGTATTTCTTAGTTCAGAAATGTTAATAAGTAAATGTAGAGAGTAAGGGATCTGTAGATAATAAAAAGCATTGTTGTATATTTCAGGTTATCATTTGATAAAGATGAAATGATCAAACGAGCCAAGAACTTTATAGAACTGTATAAGAAACAAGGTATTAGCAAGGACAGAATTCTCATCAAATTATCCTCGACATGGGAAGGAATTGAGGCTGCTAGGTATATAGATAAAATGTTATATTACATGTTACTGTATGTCTAAATTTATACACTCAAGCATACAAACACAAATGATATATGAGCCGCGTCACGACAAAACCAACGTAAAGCGTTTGCAACCAGCATGGATCCAGACCAGCCTGCGCATCCGCGCAGCCTGATCAGGATCCATGCTGTTCGCTATCAGTTTCTCTACTTGTAATAGGGTTTGTAAGTAAACAGCATGGATCCTGATCAGAATGTGCGGATGCGCAGGCTGGTCTGTATCCATGCTGGTCGCAAACCCATTATGTTGGTTTTGTCATGACACGGCTCACATGACTATGCTTTTGACTGCTTAGTCTGAGAATCCTTAATGCAGTTAGCAGAGAATGCATTTTTATTTTCTTTTTTTCATGAAGTGTCCTCCATAGAGTTTATTTAACCATTCATTTAAACATTGCTTCTATCTTTTACCTACTAAAAGCGGGTCACTGACTTAAGTTTGACGGTAATTAGAAAAAATTGCTTTTCAGCTTCATTTGCTTCTAGAGCTGTTTTAATTGTTTTTTTTTCCTGAGAAGAACTATAACAATTTTTTTTGTGACCTGTTATATGGCTGTATAAAGTATTGTAAGCTCATACAACCTGAGCTGCTAGATGAGGTTTATATAGTAAGCAACAATTTATATGCAGCCTTGTGGCATAACAAATGTGTAGTATTATCTATAAGTTTGATAAAAAACATTAAATGAGCCGCGCCATGAAAAAAACATAGTGTGTTTGCAACCAGCATGGATCCAGACTAACCTGCACATCCTCGCAGTCTGATCAGGATCCATGCTGTTCGCTATCAGCTTCTCTACTTGTTATAGAGTTTGTAAGCGAACAGCATGGATCCTGATCAGACTTGGCGGATGTGCAGGCTGGTCTGGATCCATGCTGGTCGCAAACCCATTATGTTGGTTTTGTCATGATGCGGCTCATTTTAATATTTAGATACCAGTATTTTTCATGTAATCATTGTATATGCTCCATCTCTTTGAAAGATTTGTTCTAATGTTTTCTAGATTGTCATAAATACTTTTTATTTGAAAATTTCAGAGTGCTAGAAAAAGAGTATGGAATTCACTGTAACATGACTTTACTGTTTAACTTTCACCAGGTAAATTTAATATAATATTTATTTTAACCAAGTGATTCTTTTATTGTTTAAAAATTTATTCTCAAGCTGGTGACGATTTGTTGTATCTAAATAATCAATTATTATAGAGATAAATTTTTAACATATATTCAATGTACACAAGGGACTTTTTTCCTTTTTTATGTGAGAGAGGTGTCAAATAGTACACAAATCTCGAAAAAATATTTTGTCATTCAATTCATGCAGGAAAAAAAGCAATTTGAGAGCAATGAAAGTCTTAATACTTTTCAAAAATGTAAACAGGTATAAGACTCGTAACCATCTACCTGTCAGGGTTCATGCTACCATTTGTAGCTGATACAATGTAGATACTTGCCAAAATTCTATAAAATTTGACATTTTACTTTCAAAGTTAAACTGAATGAGACTTTTTTCTTTTACTTATTCTAGTTCCCATTTAGTCATAATATGTCATAGTATTTTGTCAGTATGACAGTTTAGTGTTAACATATCTTAAAAGTTACTTACGAAAGAAATCTCAGTAGTTATTGAATATTAAGAGGATATTTTTTTGTTTTTTCGTAAAATATCGAATATATTTCCACCAAACATGATAAAATGCAACATATTTTCACGAGCCGGGAGATATTGGTGTTCGGATTTATTTTCTTAGTTATACCATTTTCTATCATTCTAGATAGTTTTCAAAACAAATTTCAACAAAAAGTTGTTTTTTATTTATCACATTTTTTAAACAAAATGGTGAATGAAGTCCCTTTAAATAAATATGAGTTTTGACTCTGCCCACTTTCATATTTATATTTCATATTTTTTTTTTACATAAAAATATGAAATATATTTGACTGATGTAGCATCATATTTCATTTGTAAAATTAAATAAACATGTTTGGTGTATTACTATAACACAGGCTGTAGCATGTGCTGAAGCTGGAGTAACATTGATCTCACCATTTGTTGGTCGTATCTTTGACTGGTTTGTTCAGAATACAGGTCAAAAAGAGTTTGACTACCTTGATGATCCAGGTATGTTTATATACTAGTATTTTATATATATATTTGGGTATACTTAACACTTAAATGATTTGTATAACAAATTACTATTGAAAATGTCAAGACTTCTACCTGCTTGTGCCTGAAATAATGCACAGAGGGTCACCTGAGGTCGTTCTCTACCAATAAAGCAAAGCCTGATAGTCCCCATATGACCTTTACTGTGTTGGTATATAACTCAACAACCAAAAATATTTTTTTATGTTTTCAAAGAAGCTCACCTTCAGGTTAATTCTCAGTGGCCATGAACCTAGGACATTGAGTGTAATGGTAATTTGTCTCTTACTGCTGATTCACAAATCATTCTGTAATTTGAGAAGAAATTTGTAATTGCTGGTTAGGTGATATGACTGCCAGTTAGGTGATATGACTGCCAAAATATGACCTAAAGTTGTTGAAAGCATTATAAAATCCAAACAAACAGAACAGATCAATCTGTCTGATGAGATTGTTTTCATGATTTGATATATAGCAGATTTCATGAAGTTATATTTTGCTTGCTCTTAAAGGCACATTATGCCTCCACAATAAATAAATTTTCCATAATGCAGAAAAGGGCAATTATATGTTAAATAATGTTGTAATACATGTAATAATTGATTTAGAACATGGGAGATGTTCATCGCTTGAATAAAATAATGTTAAATGTGAAATAAATTGTAGCAAAATTATCTTGACTTCCATACACAGTGTCTATTCCAGGGTGATTTTTATCGAAAAGTGAGAATTTAAATTCCCCACACCCCCTGCACCTGAAAAAAATATGGGGGAATTCTCACTAATGAGTGACTTTTTGGAAAACACGATACCAAAAGTAAAAAGCTTTTGAAAAATTAGAAATGATAACATTTGTGAGGCTTAAATGGGTCGTTAAAATAACATGAAAATGTTTGTATTATAGGTGTGAAAAGTGTGACACGTATTTATAACTATTACAAGAAGTTTGGCTATCAAACAGTTGTCATGGGAGCCTCCTTCCGAAACACCAATCAAATCAAAGGTCTTGTTGGTTGTGACCTGCTGACAATATCGTAAGTAATTTTTTTTATTGACACAGATAATGTATTAAAGAAGCAGTGACCTAGAAGTTTTTGCTTTTGAACACAGGGATCATGTGTTTAAGCCCTTCAATGGGTAATGAATATGATTTTATTTTTGTGATATCAGTACATGGTAATTTTAGAAATCTCAAGATCGATTCAAAAAGGCTTAAAAACAAGTTTTTTTTCATTATTAAGCAAGAATAAAATACATTTAAACTAAAACAAATTAATACATGTATACATTGTATTTTTAAAAAAAACTTTAACTGCAACCATGTCTTATCTATATTGCCAGCATAGAGCCTGGTCTGTCTTTATGTCTTAGGAGTTTGACAAGGTTCTACACTCTCAGCTCCTTCATTTTTTTGCAATTTGAGCCGTGTCATGACAAAACCAACATAATGGGTCTGCGACCAGCATAGATCCAGACCAGCCTGCACATCCGCGCAGTCTGATCAGGATCCATGCTGTTCACTATCAGTTTCTCTACTTGTAATAGGGTTTGTAAGCGAACAGCATTGATCCTGATCAGACTGCGCAGATGCGCAGGCTGGTCTGGATCCATGCTGGTCGCAAACCCATAACGTTGGTTTTGTCATGGCTCGGCTCATTTAAAATCCTCACAATAAATTGTTTCAATTCAAAACAGGACAGATTCATATTGAGAATTTTAGCAGGGCACAGGTTTATATTTATATTCAAAATTCTGATTTTAACAAACTTAGATAGCAAAAGAGCACACATTTTAATGCATTTTTGTAATTCTTTTTTTCTCTATAGCCCTTCACTGCTGGATAAACTATCTAAATCAACAGAACAGTTTGGAGAACAGCTGAGTGAAAAATCAGGTAAATAATGAAATGATATAGCAATAACCAAAATATAAAGAAGATAATTTATTTCTGTATGATATTAGAATATGATGAAGTTGATGTACAAACATGGGAGCAATACTTTTTTGAAGCTTTTTAGAGGCTTCAGCCTTGAAGCACTGGATGTTGTTAACTTTTAGCCTGCTGATGACCACTGTTTCTACCCATGTGATCAGTGAAGACACAGGTCGTGGGTTTGATCCCCGGGAGATACTTTGGTAGTTAAGCGCGGAGGAAGGTAGTCTAGAGTCTAGTACTGGTGTAACTCTCCAGGAACGATGGTTAGGAAACTACCCGCCTATATGACTGAAACACTGTTGGGAAAAGGCGTAAAATGAAACAAACAAACAGGTTAAATTTGATTTCCGATGCAATCAACATATTAAAAGAGTTATGCCCCTTTTAAAGTAAATTTTTGAGCAATTCTTGCTTTCTGCAGGGCAACTTCGGAAGTATTTATCTTGAAGGCATAGTTTTGCTTGTGATACTTTTTATTTAAAATTTCCCATTGGGCATATGTTGTCCTGCCTCACCGCTAGCTGAGCTCTCGTTATGGGTTGTTGAGGTTGGCAAAGGGTGGCAAATGAGTTTTCCCTTGTCTATCTATCCCTGTCACAGTACTGCTGCCAAGCTGTTTGTTGGCACACTGACAAACTTTATTCATATTATGGTTTTTACTTATGTTGATAAAAGCTTGTGTAAAAATTTTATTCTAAATTTGTGTTAGTTTAATTCAGATTTTGCGATGGGCATTGTTTTATTCTTCAGCTAAGAAGTTGGACATTGACCGTGTTGATGTTGATGAGAAAATATTCCGATGGGAGATGAACGAGGACACAATGGCGAACGATAAACTTTCTGACGGAATCCGAAAATTTGCAGCAGACGCCTTGAAACTGGAATCCATGTTGAAAACATATCTTCAGTAGATATAAGCAGCAAACGAGAATGATTTTTGTAAAGTAGTTAGAAGTTATTACATGCAGCAAACATTTTATAAGGGAAGGTTTATCCCTGTTTAGAATGTACCTTTAAAGCTTATTGAATGATGTTAAATCAAAAAAATGTTTTCATAAAATGGCAGTTGAAAGTTTGGAATATATTTAAATTTTGGAAGTGATGTTTCATTGAAATTAGCAAAGTTAGGCATAAAATTTGAAAGTTGAATTATTTGTGAAAGCCAGTGCACAACATGTATATACATGTATATTTAAGATTCTTATGTGTGATAAGTGGTGTAACTTAATAGAGAAATTTAAATCATAACTTCATTTTAGGCCTCTTTTTTGTATTACTTTTACATGACACTGTAATATTGATAATATTAAGTATGGTGCTTTAAAGGGTCTAGGGATATCTTTTGTATATTATTTTAAAATGCTTTGTATAAAAAATGAAGACATTAGTTAGTTATTAAATTAAAACAATCATGTAAAGAGATGAATTAAAAAGAGCTATAATTTATTTGATAATGTGGACTTTATAAGGTGAAATGAAAGCTACATGTATATTCACTTATATATCTGCAACTTGTATAATTGATACTTTACTTTGATTTTTTCCATCGATCTTTGAAGGGACTGTTTAAAATTCAAAACTGGGCAAAATTATGTTTTATTAAAAGCTGAAGATTTGCAGGTACATGTACTTATTAGAAAAAAGAAATGTAGACATTATAGTGCCATTGTTCTTCAAAAGTTGGCTTGGTAATAATGGGCTCATTTCGAAAGGGAAAATTTACAACTCTTGTTCAATTAGAAAGAAACTTAGCAGTGTGGGACCTGTTTTCTATCTATGGTGGCTATATATAGTATAAGGTGGCCTGTATACACAAGTTCAACTGGTTTGTTTAGTGTCATATTGTTTTTTTTGTCTTTTATTAATGGTTTAGATAAACTGCATCAGTGAAACTTGGAAAGTTGCCATATGACCTATACTTTTTACCCAAAAGAGAAAAAAATCTCAAATATTATATGAAAATTTTGTGTTCATTTAAAAATACCTTTTCATGCTTAGCATCTTCAAGTTGACCATATATAAATATTCTATATCCACTTTAACCACTGCCATATTTCTTAAAAAACCTGGGAGCTTTAAATATTGTTTCACAGTTATTGCTTTATTGTTTCATAGTTATTCCCCTTTGCTTTGTTTTTTTTTGTGTAGTCAGGTGCTGTGCATCTTGTTTTATTTTCATGGATAAACTTTTATAAATAAAAAAGTAAAAATATATCAATATCATATCACATATCATTTTATATATGGCAATAACGAAGGGAAATTAACTTTATGAATGTTGTAGCCTGTAGGGAAATTAACTTGATAGATTATGTGGGGCGGTTTACTTGAAAAATTGTGAAGGGAAATTGATTTAAGAAATAATGGAGGGCAGTTAACTTAAAAAGAATTGTGAATGGAAATTGATTAAATAAATAATAACCGGCAGTAAGCAAAAGACATTTTGAAGGGACATTAATTAAATGAATTGTGAAGGTTAGTTAGCTAAATAAATTTTGATAGGAAGTTATTGTGAGAAATAATGAAGGGCAGTTAACTTTATAAATCATGAAGAGAAATTAACTTTATGAATTGAGTAGGGCAGTTAACTTTAAAAGTTGTGAAGGGAAATTAATTTAATTAGAACATGAGGGAAATTCAGGTGATGAATTATGAAGGAGCTTAACTTTGTTATTATTAATTCTTAAGTATACTATTTATTGCATTCAGTTTTGACATGATGTGAATAAAACACAGTGAGAATATTTACAATCTTTTTTAATTACCATTTTCTTTTCTTGTTTGCATCAACACATTTTCACAAATGAATAAATTTCTTAGAAATTGTTAACTTTTTACAGGTACAATTAAGACCTTTTAATGACATCATAAATATGGTATTTCACATTCATACAAAATATCTTTAGTTGACGAAATGATTGATTTTGTTACACCTGTTTCAAAACAATTTCCTAAGAAGTTATTTAATTCTGCACAATTCTTATGAAGGGATTTTTTTCTCAAACTATAATTATATAAGATACATTATGTAGTTGAAATTTTTCATTTGCTACACTTAACTTAGCATGGTGGTGGCTTTGCTAGATAGACATTTTTGAAATGATATTTTCAAATAAAAATCTCAGGTTTGTTCAAATGCAAAATTATAAAAACAAACAAAAAAATGCAAATAATGCTTTTATAAAATTTGAGGATTTTTTGGTTTCTATTTCATAGAATTTAGATATTTTTACCCTACATAAAGTAAAAGTACTACTTAAGTTAGGGAGTAAGATTTTGTTTTATTGTGCTTCTAATTTGCTTGACTTTCAGACTAATTTGATTATGATTATATGCAAATCATGTGTTAATCAGAGAATGTATAATATTCTAAAAATAATGATTTCTGTTTTTTTATTGATATATAATGACAAAACTGTTACTGATTCTTTTGATTATCTGTTTCTAGAAAAAAATATATTAAAGAAATATATTTTCTATGAAATTTTTGCATTTTATTTCTTTACTCCATGTCTTTCACTCTGCAATCGGAAAATAAATTAAGAAACATATTATGTAGGATAATATTTGTCTTTACACTACAGTCATCTTTAACATTTGCCAGACAGTGTGACCGAGTGGTTAACACGTCGAGCAAGTAATCCGCCACGTGGGTTCAAACCCTGTCTAGGGCACGCTGATGTGAAATGTGGCCATATAATGGTACGATGATCATTACAGTGTTGGTACGATGATCATTACAGTGTTGGTGCGATGATCATTACAGTGTTGGTGCGATGATCATTACAGTGTTGGTACGATGATCATTACAGTGTTGGTGCGATGATCATTACAGTGTTGGTGCGATGATCATTACAGTGTTGGTACGATGATCATTACAGTGTTGGTACGATGATCATTACAGTGTTGGTGCGATGATCATTACAGTGTTGGTGCGATGATCATTACAGTGTTGGTGCGATGATCATTACAGTGTTGGTGCTATGATCATTACAGTGTTGGTGCTATGATCATTACAGTGTTAGTGCTATGATCATTACAGTGTTGGTGCGATGATCATTACAGTGTTGGTGCGATGATCATTACAGTGTTGGTACGATGATCATTACAGTGTTGGTACGATGATCATTACAGTGTTGGTGCGATGATCATTACAGTGTTGGTGCAATGATCATTACAGTGTTGGTACGATGATCATTACAGTGTTGGTACGATGATCATTACAGTGTTGGTACGATGATCATTACAGTGTTGGTGCGATGATCATTACAGTGTTGGTGCGATGATCATTACAGTGTTGGTGCGATGATCATTACAGTGTTGGTGCGATGATCATTACAGTGTTGGTGCTATGATCATTACAGTGTTGGTGCTATGATCATTACAGTGTTTGTGCGATGATCATTACAGTGTTGGTACGATGATCATTACCGTGTTGGTGCGATGATCATTACAGTGTTGGTGCGATGATCATTACCGTGTTGGTGCGATGATCATTACAGTGTTGGTGCGATGATCATCACAGTGTTGGTGCTATGATCATTACAGTGTTGGTGCGATGATCATTACAGTGTTGGTGCTATGATCATTACAGTGTTGGTGCGATGATCATTACAGTGTTGGTGCGATGATCATTACAGTGTTGGTGCGATGATCATTACAGTGTTGGTGCGATGATCATTACAGTGTTGGTGCGATGATCATTACAGTGTTGGGTGCGATGATCATTACAGTGTTGGTGCTATGATCATTACAGTGTTGGTGCGATGATCATTACAGTGTTGGTGCGATGATCATTACAGTGTTGGTGCGATGATCATTACAGTGTTGGTGCGATGATCATTACAGTGTTGGTGCGATGATCATTACAGTGTTGGTGCGATGATCATTACAGTGTTGGTGCGATGATCATTACAGTGTTGGTGCGATGATCATTACAGTGTTGGTGCGATGATCATTACAGTGTTGGTGCGATGATCATTACAGTGTTGGTGCGATGATCATTACAGTGTTGGTACGATGATCATTACAGTGTTGGTACGATGATCATTACAGTGTTGGTGCGATGATCATTACAGTGTTGGTGCGATGATCATTACAGTGTTGGTGCTATGATCATTACAGTGTTGGTGCGATGATCATTACAGTGTTGGTGCGATGATCATTACAGTGTTGGTACAACGTTAACCGTCCACTCTAACGTAAGAATACTATTGAAATAAATAAAAAAAAGTAAAAAAATAATATACATGTTACAGTATAAAAAATTTGAGATCTAAAAGAATTCATATATTCTTGATAGAAAAAAAAAGAATGTTTAATATCATTCATATAGTACATTATTATATTCTACGATAAAATTAGATCTTATTAAATTTTAGTAATTCTATAAAGTAATCATGATCTCAAGTACATGTCTGTAACATGTATATGCTTTTCTCTCTTTTCTATCTTTTAATATGAAGAGTACTCTGTTGACGGCAACAACAAAGAACAGTGGTAAAATCACATTTTCCATTTCAAGAAGAAGAAAAAGAAAACAAATTCACGAAAAACCGACAATTTCAAAAGAATTTCTCGAAAATACCAAAAAGTTGATTACATAGTTTTCACTTCAGTCTTTTTAACGACTTCATACATATTTCAGACTGAAGTTTCCGGACCTGACTTCCTGTAATTTCGAATGTCCTTGTCGCAGCGCGTGTAGCGTTTTTATTTTATTTTTTTTCTAAAGTCTTGAAATGTCAATATGATGCTGACCTTTATTTTATTTAGAAAATTGTGGTGATCATATGTGATATCAGTTAGATGCCGGAGTAATTGCTCTATTTTGTGTGAGCTATGTTTATAAATAACAACAGTTATCTGTAATTTTCCATATTTTGCCTAGTTGTTGATACGAGTTCAACAAACTTTCCAAACTTGAACAGAGGAAATCACGGTACATATCCCTATCGATATTCTCTTTGCGAAACCTACTAAAACATTACCTACTTTGCACATGCACAGGGCATTCTCTGCTGAAAACAAGTAGGCGACATAGACCATTCTAGTAAATGTTCATTCTACTGATAATAGGTGGTATGTCGAGTGAAAAAGAAGTATACCACGGAACACAAGAATGTTTAACTGTCTTTCTAAGGAAATTGACCATTTTTCAATTACTGCAACTCCACAATAAGCTACACAAAAGCGCGCTGTTTCGCCACACCCACCGCCTCGGCATGTTCTGTAGGCCAAAATGAACCACTGATTTGATTATGTACACATCATACATTTTACATGTACTCATTTCTGTATTATCTTTGGACAAATATAAAAAGTAAACAAATGCATTTGAAATTCGGAAGAACACAATACTTTCGGCTTTTCAGCGGCAGGGGTTACCTCTTTTTCTTGTCAAATGTAGATTTCGCAGAGGGTACCGCATCGTCTGATACCCACGATTGATTAATATGTAACATAACATGCAATCAAACTTATAAATGTTAATGGTTCGGCCGTGGGACTACACGACGATGAGGGGACCGATTATGTATGGAACTCTCTCATATGCACTCTAGAAATTGTAATCGCACTAACTTTAACTAGAATCGAGATAGACACAATACTGGCCCTATTAAGAAGTAATTCGTAAACAATTAAATATTTTAAATACATTTCGTGTTCGCGAAAAATTAATTTGTAACTAAGTGATTTTGTAGAATCCTTGGGTGGGGTGGGGAACTCGGGTCACACGTATGATTCTTAAAATGACACTAGTAATGGTTATGTTGTCCCAGGAATCAAACTGATATTGTTAAAATATTCAAGCTTTCGTCCAACAGAGCATGATATACATGTAAAATAATATTTAATTTACAAACCAACAATTTCCAAAGTTATTTGGTACTTTTCACTTTTGCTTTGAAGTGTCACATGTAGTATTCCTGTCACCATTTCGCGACATAATAGATTTACAAATATTATCATTATTTAAGCCTTTTATTTTTATCAGTAGATCGCAAATGGTGTGGTATTTATCCTAAACTTAAAGGTTATCATCTCAATTTTACAATTTCAGGCAATTTGTGTATTATTATGAAGATACACCATGTCAATATAGTTGCTCTATAAGTCACAAACGATTGTTTCTAAACTTATCTGTGTTACAGAGGCGCTTGGTTCGTAAATCTCCAAAAATGGCTACCCTCACATCTCTGGCAGGCGTTTGGTTATGTTTAGCACTTATTGCAGGTAAGTTACTTTGTAATAAATTTAGGTTCAATATTCGATGAAAATGGTGTAATTTGGATTTTAATAACATCAAAAGTATACAGTGTTAAACGATTTATGTTGTTTTTCTCCCCAGGCGTGAGTGGCAATTGCCCACCAGTTGAAGAACTTCAATGCAGTACTCCAGACGTGTGCCCTGAGGACAGACCATTTAAAGTCTTCTCGTACATACCACCTGGTCCAAGCACAAATAATAACCAATGTACGGCATGTGGCTACTGTTTGGCATCGGGTACTTATGTTTACAATACATATTGTTTTTAACATAAATTTTGTCGTGTTATAAAAATTAAAGCAATATATTCTGGCTTGAGGAATTTAGAAAGAAATCAAGATTAGTGAGTGGGAACAATGCATATATTGTTTGTAAATATAATTATCTCAAGCGTTTCCAAGTCTATTCCTGATATTTATTTTTTTACCTAGGAACATTGAACCTCATTAACCATTTTATCATATATCATGTAATATATTCTGTTTTATTGTAAAATTACACCATTTTGCCTCTCACAGGTGAGATATCATTTGAAATCATGCTTTTTTATAGGCATGTGTTGTTTAATGTTGTAAATTTATAGATACTTTCAAAGCGGTTTAGATCAAATTCTATGAATCACTTTCCTATTTTGTTTGCTAAAGAGCCATAAATCTCGACTTTTTGTCACGTATTGCCATGCTGTTCCGTATGTTGAAAACGTGAATTTACGAAGTTAAAATTGTGAATTCACGACGATAAAATAGTTAAATTATGAAATTGAAATGTACCCATCGTGTCTTCGTAGTATTAAGTCACATATGTTTAAAGTGTTTTAAGTTTCACTTTTGAATTTTGTATCGCTTTTAACTGGCAGCTAGCTTTAGCAATGACATATAACGAGGCTCTTTTAACTGCTGCGGCATTAAGACAAAGTATTTTCGAAACGGTAATTTTATACAACGGACCGTATACAGTTTCGTACATTCTTGAAGTCAGAAAGTATGCATCCTCTAAACCGGTGATGTTTCATAATGTATAAGATAAGAAAACAAGCACATGAGCCGGGATTTAAAGTGTTTCAATAATACAATAAGACTTTTATTTTGTGCTATGCGGTCTATGAGCATATATATTTCTTATGAATTTGAATACATTTTGAATATATTGAACTTGAAACCATACCGGAAATACCAATTCAGATGTTTTATATCTCAAATAAAGATTGAAAATTACATCATTTATTTTATGCTTTTGAGTGGATAACTGATTAATCCGTGAAAAATATATTTGATAATTTTACAGTGGAAATTATCATACGTATAGCAAATGAAATAAAAATAACAACAAAAAACTTACTTTAATTCATTCAGTTTACCAGTCACCAAATACCGTTGTCTCTAATTTTTCATTTTAATTTAACAGTCCGAAGAGTACATTTCCTTCAACATGCAACCTGCTCTTGATGACATTTGGGCATATTTAAGGATCCTTCGAGCAATAACTATAATGCAAAGTGTAAAAGCAATGACAGTCACCAGCCCGAATGATAAGTAAACAATCTAGCGTTCGTGAGACAGCCTTCCAAAATATCCATGTTTTCCAGATTAACTTCGCTGGATCACAATAATAATATTTTTCACACAAATAAATATTTCTGCAAATTATTTTCGACACGACATAGAAAAAAAAACATTTTTGTTGTAAACTATCATGCACATATTGACATAAAATCAAAATGTACTCACTTTTTCATATAAATTTGTTGACTGTCATTCTTCCCTAAAAACACACTACAATGGTAGCGTACAAAGGTAACAACTCCACCTATGGAGTTAAGACCTTTGTTAAGCGATAAAATCACTGTTTGGGATGATATATTATTTCCAAAATAGTCGAAATGAATTTATAATAAGTCAGCTCAACTCGACCATACAAGGCCGACTTTCTGCTTGCTCGTTCGCAATGGAACCGATCACTCTCATTTTGGGATCCTCTATCTTACCCACTGATAGATTATATTAGTCAGCGTCGATGACTTCTAATCCAGTTACCTCTCTGGCGTGGGTTCGATCTCCGGGAGATGCTTTGGTAGTTTAGCGCGGAGGAAGGTTGTCTAGTACTGGTGAAACTCTCCAGGAACGATGGTTAGGAAACTACCCGCCTATATGACTGAAATACTGTTGAAAAAGGCGTAAAATGAAACAAACAAACAAACAAACATATTAGTCAGCAACGTCAACATTGTCAGATATTTCAAAATAAGATTATTGTCAGCAAAGTCATATATTGCAGTAGCAACGTTAACAACTTCAGAAATTAAAAAAAAACGCGTTTTCAACAAATTTTCAAGCATTAAAGCAACGTTAGCAATGTCAGGTATTTCAGAAAAAGTATTTGTTCTGCAACGTCAACAACGTCAAATATTGAAAAGCTTATTTTCAACAACCTGAGGATAAAACTCATAATCAGATGTTACTTTTCATTATCATTGTCGGTATGTTTTTAGATCTTTTATACAAAAACAAACGTCTTACAGTTTTTTTGGAAAAATGTATTTCATATAAGAAAGCTGATTATCAAAATAACATAAATGAACGACCCTTGGGTATTCAAAGATTTGTGCAGATCAATGATACCATACAAAGTCATTAAAATCGTTTAAAAAACAAATAATTATTCGGGACTGAAGGGAATACTAAACGATTTCATTCAACGATAACATTACATAGAAAAATATTCAGGTTATGTATATTTGGATTAGAATTTGTAAACGATAATTCAAAAAGCATTGTTAAGAGGCAAGTCTTCCATAAAATATTAATATCATTAAAAATGAAAAAAAAACCGGCGTTTTTATGGGGACTTCAGTGTAACACGTTTGTGCCATATTACGTGTGCCCTAAACGAGAAAACAATAGACTGAAATTTTGAAAGGGAATCAGAGGTTATGAAGCTTGCATATCATAGAGAAACGTCAAAAGACAAGTTTAATTTAAAAAAAATAGCATACTAGAAAAAAAATGAAACAGAGAAGTACTTTAAAGTACCACAAAAATGCACACACAGCAATTATGTTGATGTGCTGAATGATCTTCAAGGATCGCAAATATAACATCTTTGATGAACATTATGGATGCCTGGAAAATTTATATCTTAACTACATGGGTTACGTCTTCTCACTCTAAATATCTTAAATGATATTGTTCAAACACAAAAACAAGAAGGCAGAGATAGTTTTTAATGGTTTATATAAGGTTATGCGAAATTTTGTTAATGACTGGTGAAAAAGAAATATCGATGCAAATTAAAGGCCTCGACACTAACTTTTTAGCAGGTGGTAAGCCGGACCACTGGATTTGAAATTCAGGTGGTCCTTCCGGCAAGCAGGTGTTTCATCATTTTTTATATGCATTTAAAAAAATCAATTTAGAAAAAAATACTATTAAAATTGACAGAGACGTTTTTACATCTATTAAGAATTAAAGAAAACAAATATCTTTAGATATATATTTTCATCATCCAGTACTATCAGGAGTTAATGAGAGCAACTCAGTAGGGTTTCTCTGTATTGTTATTTAGTTGTTTTTCTATCTCATTTAAGAATACATGATAACTGCTTTTCAAATATTAACTAAAAGGTAAACAAAGTAATTCCTACATCATGGTTGAGCTTATTTTCCTCACAAAAATATTATACGGATTTTTAACTCCCAGATGCTTGTTTTTTTTAAGTCTTTTTAGCCTGTTAAAGAAAAAATGGATCTCTGTTGAAATAAAGATAAGAAGCAAAAAAGTACAATATTTATTTTGTCCTTACTGCCATTTGCTCGCTGCCATTAAAGTGTATTCGATATAGCATGTAATAAATGAAATGCAGTACTAGCGTCATTTAAATGATTTGTTTACCTTTATTTTTAAAACCAAATTTTTACTCTTTATTACTCTTTAACTTGCAAAAGCAAAATTGTAGCATGTTAAAATTAAAGTTATGAATGATTTAAGAACTTTTGAATACTAATAAGATAAATGAAGATATACGTGTTCATCGGACAAATGCTTTTAAAACAGCAAGTATATTGCATGCTTTTCAACCAAAGCGCCAGTCTTCCAGATGCGCCTTGCACCAACCAGAAAATTTAAGTGGTCTGACGGTAAAATTAGGTGGTCTTTGCCAAAATTAGGTGGTCTCGCACCAACGGACCACCGCTAATGTCGAGGCCTTTTGTTTCATGTATACTCCGACATATGCCACATGTTATGATAAATATTATCATTGAGTAAAGCTAGATTACATTGAAATTGAAATAATTAAAAAATTTAAATGCTACCTTCTTCAAAATTTTGAAGACCAAAAGGACGGCTACCACGCCGCTCAGTCTCGTATATAGGTGCTAAAATAACTTATGAATTTTGAGCCAACCAATGGGTCCGTTATAAAATCTGTTTTGGATAGTATCAAGTTTAATCTGTATATTGTCCATCTTTCAATCTAGACAAAGCCTTTAATCATAATTAAATAAATCTTTAGAAAGAAATATAGTGACTGAAAAGCAAACAGTATGGAAAGCCTTGAATGTCTTATAATTATAAAACTGAACGTTGTAATGTCCAAATAGCAATATATTGAGTCAGCTTTTCTTTATACAATGTGCACTCATGGAAATATTATGGGACAGCACCCTTATTTAAAGTCAAATAAACAATATATGATGTCAATTTGTCCTTATATGATGTCAATCAATCATTTTACGATGTACATTTTTGAATAAATTGAACAATTCACATATAATGTCAAAATAACAAAACCTGTCCTTATGTGATGTAAGTTTGTCATTATTAGATGTAAAGTATGAAATGATTCTTATATAGAGTCAACACTATATGATGTCAATGTCTCTATATGTTATGTCAATCTATCAATATACGATGTGCATTTTAGTATGTTATGTGAAACCATCCGTATATACAGCATTTATACCAGTATAGTATGCAGAATCATACTTAAATAGTCAACTTCAAAATATATGATGTCAATGTGTCATGATTCGATGTCAATCTTCGTGATACGATGTGCATTAGTGAATTTATGATGTGAAGCCATCTTTATATAGAGTCATAACAACAGTCTGTCATTATATGATGTCAGTCTTTCATATATGATATGCATTTACGAATATATTATGTGGAAGCGTCCTTATATAGAGTCAAAATATAACTATATTATGTGGAACCTATATAGAGTCAACTTAACAATATATGATGTAAATGTGTCCTTTATATGAGGTAAAACTTTTATTATACGATGTGCATTTATTAATATATTATGTAAATCCGTATATGGAGTCAGAATAAGAAATATATAATGTAAATATGTCGTTAAAAATTGCAAATCATATCATGATAGATTGACATCACATAATGACATATTGACCGAATATATTGATATAAAAATGTTTCCAAAAATATATATTCAAATGTCCAGATAGTGCAGACTATGTGCCGAATGGGGTGGTCTATATTCTGTTGCAGCAAGGAATGTAAGTGTTAAACAAACTGAATCGTACTAGGCAAATAAGTACGTTGTATGTGGTACAAAATAAAACGGAAACTGTTGACAAGGACAGTACTTTATTGTAAGATTTAGATATACAGATTGAGATAGACACATGACTTTAATACACACAAATAAGTTAATTAATCGCAAATGATTAAATCTGAAAAAGAAATATTACAAACAAAAGTGATATACCAAAGAACAAAACAAAACTAACTATATTCAAAACAATATAAAGGTAATATAATAAGTTAACAAACAACATTAATACTTAAGAAAATTAAAGGAATTTTCTCACTTATCAAATTCCGGAAACAGTAAAATTCTAATTTTTGAATGATTTTCATTCAAATCATATAAATAAACAGACTTTGAAATCATAGCTTTTGAGAATCTATGTCAATGTTTCTTTTGCATAAAGAGATTTGCAAAATGGCACTTTATATCATATAAAATGTTTGTTGTTCATTTTTGGCCATAAATACTATTGAAATAACAGTTTGTTTTGCAGAAAATAAAACACAGGCAATTATGGTAGAAAAAACAACTATATACTTGAGTATTTTCTGACTGTAGTAGAAAAATAATTATCTCTGAAAAACGAACATAAATTCGAATGATTCTTAGTATTTAACCATATCATACACTTATTTATAATTAGCCTGTCGTGTAATGGGAGCCGTTGACATGCATGAAACACTCATGCTCATGCACAGACGAAAACCTTAAAGAAGTAACACATTTTTAAAATACAAATTTCTTTTAAAAATGCACACTTTGTATGTATATTTTTTTCTCAAAGAATGTTACCTAAGTGTTAAAATTTTCGACTTGATTTTCATGTATACATATAAAAAATGTTTAATAATAGAAACTACAGGGAATCATTTAATGGCATTCCCTAAATATTAAAAATAATATATACATAAAATAATAATAATAATAAAAATAAAACAAAATAAAGCAAAACATTGATATTTGAAACAACAGCAATAAACGAAAAAGTTACGTTAAAAAGTTTGATTTTGAAACGTAAGAAACTGGGATAATTAATTTTCAATTACAGTCATGTTTTCATTTCGTCTGATGACCTTGTAAACTATGATATGAATGAGGCGTCCTGCTTGAAAGATATCATTTTGTAGGTCTTCATTCTTGGCCGCTGGTTTTGTGTCTACTTTAATGAGGATATCTCCTAATACCTGAAAATAATACTTAAGTCTATATCAATACTCTATAAAATGTGCACTATTTAAACTAACAAAGCATAAGAAAAACTCTAATCATTAGCCATTTGTGCACGTTGGATGAAGCTGTCAACAATGTGATTAAGTTCATATATAGTTAAGCTATGATGATTGCAAAAGTAACAAAAAGAAAGCGGCCGGGGTTTTTATACGTTCTACAGAGTTGGCAGCCATTCGTTTTTAACATCGTCAGTTGTTGTACGTTAAACTATTATGGCAATAAGTCATGCATTTACTAATCACTAGCCAAGACCTGCATGAAAAACATGTGCACGATTGAAACAATAAATACCAAGCAGTGTCATTTATACATATATTCAGGTCTAGAACATCGAAAATTGATAAGTGAGGAGGTAAATATTTTTTTTTTATCTTTTATTTAAAAACTTTAAAAACATTTGCACAAAGAACATTTTCATATAATACTTGTACAGTAAGTGCAATTAACATCAAATACATGTATGATATTATATAAGAATTACAGTTTAGAAAAAGGTATACATAGCTGTAATAAAATATTACAACGTAATTTTACTCATCTTTTAACATATCTGACAATATTAAAAGTTTGTTGTAAAGCGTTTAATAAAATGAGAATTATATTTCTTATGGACGAGGTATAGTTTCATATTGTTAAGTTCGTGTAGAAAGATTCCATTAATGTTAATAGTATCGGCACGTTGGTTACTCATCATATAAGCTTTGTATATACTAAAGCCAATAATTGTAAAGATCAAATTAATTTGCCAAAGATTTGATTGCTGCGTATTATCGAAACTATAACGTAATACGATATTTTTGAGAACAGATTCCTAGCGACTTAAAAGTTTCAATAATTATTTTCTAGAAAGCATTAATTGATTGACAATGAATAAAGAAATGTTCTGTGCTATCAGTACAATTGCATAAAACGCATTTCGGACTATTTTTCAATTTCCACTTGTATAAGTTATCCACTGTCGGTATTACATTATGAATGAGTTTATAACGGAACTGTTTATATCTATTGTCGATGCTTGATTTTATATTCAGGTATACTTTATTCCACGGAATGTCATGTTCAAATAAAATTTCCCATAGGCGATGAATGTATGGTTTTTCCGCTTTATTGTTTCTAAGTATGTTATAAATCTCTTTGTTCGATTCTTTTGTAAGTAAAGGAGAAAAGTCAGTTTTAACCCTAGTTTTGATTGATTCGTCCGATTTTAAAATGAATTTCCAGAGTTACGGTATAGCTTTTCGTAGCGTATAAATTTTGGAAAGTCAATTTGATTTATTTCTTAGTTTTGAAAGAATAAAATGTTCACTGATCTCCCCATTTGCATCGATAATATCGTTTACAAAAATTATGTCCGAGTTTATCCAATTATGAAAATATAAAGATTTCTTCTTCCATAAAATGTGTTCAGTACCAAAAATTATTCCTTTACGAGTATCAAAGACGTGTTTTGGTTGCTTCTTATTAATATTATTTAAATACAATCCATTTTTATAAGTTCTTTATAGTAATCAGGTAAAGTATAATATTCTTTTGGTAAACTTGAGACAGATTTTAAGTTCATGTAAAAAACAAGGAAATTCTTGCCGAATTTGTTTAAGAAATAACTTGGAATGACTTTCCAGTTTGCAAATTCATTAGAAAGTAGGGATTTTACCCATTTAATTTGCAACATCGTAACAAAACTTTCAATGTCGATCATGTTTAAACCGCCTTTTTCGAGATCGTTTATCAATATATTTCTTTTAACCTTTTCACGTTTATCGTCCCAGAGGTATGTATATAATAATGAGTTGAGTTTTTTCTGTATCTCTTCCGGAAAGTACAGTGATTGCAATAAGTAGATAAATTTTGGAAGTAAAATTGATTTTATAACAGTGAGTCGTCCATAAATAGTAAGTTTTCTTTTCTTCCATGAATTAATTAAGATTTTACAGTTTTGAATTTTTGTTTCCCAGTTTAATTGTTCGCATTCTTTTTTATTTGTGCCAAAATAGACGCCTAAAGCTTTCACTTTTTCGCTCCATTTTATGTTAGTTAATTTTAAATTATCAAAGTTATTCCCTAATCTAACACCTTCTGTCTTGTGCAAATTTAGTTGTAGACCAGAATGTTTTCCAAAAATTTCAATCGTTGATAATGCTTTTGTATGTCTTCTGTGCTTTTTAAGAACATTGTAGTATCGTCGGCTAGTTGTGTCATTTTAAGATTAAAAGTTTCATTGTTTATTTTTATTGAGATTCCGTTAATGTTATTATTCTCTCGAATTGAATTAGCTAGGACCTCGGCAACGATGATAAAAAGCAAAGAAGAAATTCCGCATCCCTGTCTGAGACCACGTGTTAGAGAGCAAAGTTTCGATATCCAACCATTGTTGAATATTCATGACGAATATTATTGTAAAGGGACGTTATCCAGCGAATAAACATTGGTTTAAAGTTAAACTTTTCAAGGGTTTTAACTAGAAAGTCAAACTCGATCGTATCGAAAGCCTTTCTAAAATCTAAAAATCAAAGGTTTCCATCAATGTTATTTTTTCCGCAATAGTCAATAACGTCTGATTTTTGTCGTATGTTATTACCAATAAAACGATTTTTTTATGTAACCTTGTTGATCGCTGTCTATAATTTTCGGAAGTACTTTTTGTAACCTAATCGCGAGTACCCGAGTTAAAATTTTGTAGTCGTTATTAAGCAACGATATTGGACGCCAGTTTTCAATATTTTCTGGGTCTCCTTTTTTGTACAATAGTGAAATAACACCGATTTTCTGAGAAGCTGAAAGTTCGTTTTCTTTGTGTATTTCGTTATAACAATTAACTAATAAAAATTTTAAGTGATGCCAGAATGTACGATAGAATTCGACTGTAAGTCCGTCATTACCTGGACTTTTGTTGGTTTTCATGCTGAGAAGTGCGCTTTCGCATTCATTTATATTTATTAAACATTCTAAGTCTTTCAAGTCTTTGTCTTTTAGTGTTTTCTTAAAAACAGTGTTATCGAAAAAATCCCTTAAATTCTCGCTGTCTACCTTTTTTGTATATAGATTTTGGTAAAATGTAACCTCTTCTTCAAAGTTGATTATTTGTTTTCCGTCAATTTTTAACGAGTTAAGACTTTTTTTCGTTTGTTTCGATTTTTCTAACGAATGGAAATAATTCGTATTTTTCTCACCTTCATCGATGAGCTGTACACGTGAGCGTATTTTTGCACCGTTTGCTTTATTTATATATATCGTCTCGATTTCTAAATCTTTTATTTGTTTAAGTAATGTATCTGAATTATGCGAATGAAATTCTTCGTATAGCTGCGAAAGTCTTTTTTTCTAAACTCGTTAATCGGTTTCTACTATGTTTAGCTTTCAGTTTTGAGAAATATATACTTTTTTCTTTAATGCTGTATTTCAATATTTCCCACATTGTTCTATGATCAATGTCATGAGATTTGAATTCATTTTGAACAGAACTTATGGTATTTATGATAAGATTTTTATATTTATTATCTTCTAAATGAGAATTATTCAACTTTCAATAACCTGGACCGCGATGACTAGGAATATTTACTTTTACACTGATACATAAGTGGTCAGTATACATTATTTGTGCAGGTCTTATGTCGCAGCTGGCGATTAAAGGCGACATGCTTTTTTCAATAAGCCAAAAATCAATGCGACTGTTTTCCGCGCCATTAGTCCGTTTCCAAGTAAATTGAATTTTATTTATATTTTCAAGCTTCCAGATATCACATAGACTATGTGAATGTATTAGATTTTTCACCTTTTCAGATGTTTTAGTGCGCGAGTTAGAATGAGTATAGCTGTCTGTTTCGTTGAGTACATCATTAAAGTATCCTCCTATTATTTTTAAGCCTAATGATTCTTCTTCAATCTTATTGTAAATAAGTTCAAAAAAGTTATTTCTACAACGTTTGTCATTTGGTACGTATATGTTAACAAAAGTGAAAACTGTTCCCGAGAAGACAATATTTAAAAGCACAAATCTCCCAGACTCTTCGTCAATTATATCATTTATGACATTATATTCAATGCGAATATTTTTGCGAACTAATATAGTGCAACCTTTTGAGTGAGTTGTAGGTCCAAATGCATTGTAAATGCGATAATCTTTAAAATCTGTTTAACATCTTCCAGAATATCATTTGTAAAGTGAGTTTCTTGGAGAAATGATATATCTAATTTTTGTTGATTAACCCATTCTAAAAACCGTAAACGTTTGGGCTTCGCACGTAATCCCTGTACATTAAGGGAACCAATATGAAGTTCATAAATAGACATATTGAGAAATTAATTGACTTATTGAATTAAAACACGTAAAATATATCTTGTAACTTGACATGTACAATGAGTACGCTTGTGATAAACGTATAATTCTTGAAGCCTTGACGAAATCTTGAAACAAAAGGTTTTGAAAATGCAATATCAAAAAGTAGCTTTCTTTTAATGCCCCATATTTTACAAAAGCTTCGGATTTGGAAGCAATTGCACTTAAGCATAGAAGGAAAGTAAATTTCCAAAGTACATGTATAAATTGTGAAAAAAATGTGGTTTCGTTAACATATAAATAGAATGTACCAAAAACATACATTAATGTATGCAAATTTGATAACTTCTTAGAATATTTGTTTTAAGCATCAGAGATTTGCTATACAAATCTTGTACGCGGACATAAAACAAATTTACATTAATTCTATTAACTTGATATAAATTAAACATACATGTATAATTTTCAAAAATCAATTTCCTTTGCACCGCAACATGTAAGTACACTGCATCGGTATATGAATGCTTGATAAAATTAAAAAATAAATGAAATTGAAGTCTGTGTAAAATATATACTATACAGATGCAGACAAATACATGGCCGGTATTACATTGAGTAATAAGTATGTTTTGTTGATCGGAACACCCGACTGTCGCAATTACTATGAAATTATCTAAACTATTTTAAATGTTTCTCGTGTTTTCCATGATTTCTTTGCGCGTACTACATTTTTGCTTACATAGTAAAGCGTCAATAGTTATAAGTATGTTATTTACAAAATTTAACACAACGCTTACAAATTTATAAGGCCATGTCAAATTTGTTTCTTGTGCACCAGTTATATAACATGATACATTTTTACATGAACTATATATCATTTTAAATGATGTATCATAATTTATGCACTCATTCATGTACAGAATACTGAAAAAAATAATGATTTGAAGGCCTACTGCCCACGTAATTAATGTACAATCTTGTAATAATCTCTTTATTACATGAAAGTCCAAATGTGTAAATAATAAGGTAAATATTTTGAGGTTAGCGGTATTTCTGATAAAAGATTTTTCTAATAAGCGCATTGTCTAACAGGAGCTATTATAACAAAGTAAAAAAGATGGTTTACACTGTTTATACATGTAAGTATTAAAGTTACAAAATACCTTCCCATTTCTGGTCCTGACACACACTGTATCCTTATCAAGGTTTCCAATGAACAGGAAAGCTCTTTGAAGCACGTCAAGAGAACGAAACAATTCGTATGTTAACTTGAGAGTGACAGAGGCCGACACCGTCATATCACTGTTTACGAGTTCCCCGACAGATATGTATTTAGGTTTGAGAGCATCGCGAACGCTGAAGTTCCGGCTGATGCTTCGATACTCCTTGATGTAATTGCCCAGTTCTGATGCATTGATGAAAATAAATGCAAACGAACATAATTATCACCAAAGAAACAAACAAAACAATCAAATTGAAAAAAAAATACTAAACTTCTAAACATATATTCATTTTAAACGCTTTTGAACATTCGATGACATTCTGTCACTTGAACTTGTTATAATTGCATTAAATCAGTTTTCGAATTTACTTCTTTGCACTTAAGTGGTTATATTAAATATATCATTTCAAAAATATATCTTATTGAGAACTGCAAGTGCATACACAAAATCGCCCGTGTGTGATCAGGTCAACAGGCATTATTTAAAAAGTATAAGAGAGGAAACTGTTATTCATTCTTTTGTAATCTAGATAAATTCAAACCAACCTTTTGATAATTCTGAGCGAGTCTGTTCCTCCGCGCTAGGATTAAATTTCTGAAAAGAAATGCACGTTATAGATAATTAATAAATAAACAAAATGTGGACCTTTTGTTTTTGTCAAAATTAATTCATATATTGCTGTATTAATTGCTCATATCATCTAGAAAATATCTATAATAGTTTGTTTCGCCGTTTCAAATAAAATTTTCCAAAGGCCATCAGGTTACTGACTTTGGTCAATAAGAAACATTATATAAGCCACTAGTCAGTATTTAAAGACATTTTTTGTTACTAACTTTAGAGAATTTGTCAATGATTGGGACATTAATTTTAAATTGATTATTTATGGGTTGAACAAACATTAAAACGGTGATCAAATTGACCTATAGGCCCATAGGGCCGTGTGCTCTTTATTATCATTGTCTATATAGTTTTGAATTAATTGCCCAAAACTAAAGTCTCCATAATAAACTACCATTTTGTCTAAACTCATCATTCTTAACAAAGGTTTTCTCATCAGCAAAATTAAAGTAAACGAATAAATCTTTTCAGGTTGATTTCTGTAAAGAAACACAAACATCGAGTACTTAAAAAGAATGAAAATAAAACCAACACTACGGCAACATGTTTGAGATTTTGCATCTTCATCAAAATTTATCATATACAAAATAGCTTTTAAAGTAAAGCGCACTAATTGCAAAAAGTAATAAAGGAGGGAGAAAAAAGTTATTACCGATTTTCCTAATATGGCAGTCACTGTATACAATATTGGATTCAGGGCAGAGTTGATTGGTAAAATAAACACGGCCGACCATGCATAAACATCACCCGAGATCACGTGACCATTCAGTGCCATTATACCTATTTTAAGATACATATATGTACTAAGGTAAATATTATACTAAATATTAACTCAAAGAGATGCAATTGCACATGTTATACTTTTTTTACTTTTTACCTCAAACATGTTCAAATTAATCACAGTGCACTATGTGTTATATCGTCTTGTATCTATTAATTTAGAACTTTTGATATACCACGTGAATTAAATGACACTAAATGTGACATTTGTATAATACTAACTGTACTGATTGTTTGGAACACAACAATAAAAAAAGGTTTAGTGAAGTAAAAGTAGAAACAACATTTCTGAAGCTTAATGAATCCTTTACATTTGTAACCATTGTGTATAAAGAAACGATTGATTCCTCAATCGCCAGCTTACATACCCATAACACCAATTGGAAACCAACACAAAAAGTCCGTGGTAACGACGAGAAGAAGATTTCTTGCAACAATCAAATCCCTCCTCCTACCAGAGTGCATTTTCTGCATGCTTGAACTTGATTTCTTAACCTCCAAGAAAATGGAGATCTGACCAAATGCAACCAGCGTAAACGTAATGAAATTTAAACCAACAAAAATTGATATGGAATAAATCCAGCCAGGCGGTCGATCTCTCGTCAATGGTAGAGCAATGCAAACCCCAGATCTTGAGTAAAATTGATTTTGAAAATAGCCTTCGTAAACAACTGGTATCAGAGCTATAACAAATGCAAAAATCCATGCAAAAATCGAGCATGATTGTGCCTTAAGTAAATCAAATCTAATTTGTCCGAAAGGAAATTTTATAACTAAAAGTCTGTCAAGTGTAATTAGGCAAAGGAAAAGGACACTGGCTTCAGAGGACACTGTGGAAAGGACACCAGCAAATGTGCACCATCCACTTCCCCTCCAGTACTCATCCTCATATATGTACCTGTAAAAACACACACACGAATTAACTCTAAATTTAGGATGGAAATAACCAAACATTTACAAATGTATTTAAAACATCTGATGAAATATAAAAAATAGAGCTAAATAAACCATAATTCGCCGGTATGTAATACATAATAATAAAACTATTAGATATCTACAAAGCACTTGATAAATCAATATTTAATGTTATAAGAAATCGTGAAAATATAGTAGATTCATGTATTTTAACATACATATGGTTCTTAACATCTCTATCACTTAATCGTGTTAAGAAAATATATTTCTTTCCACAACATTTATTTTGCTATATCATATTACCGCTTTCTGAAAACAGCATCTGCAATAGCGATGATAATAAGGTATATTCCCATCAGAAAATCTGCTGCAGCCAAATTCGTTACGAAAATTCCATATGCTATTTTCAGCCGCTCTCTGTCATATACAAGTCTATACAAGATAGAGAAGAAGTTACCGATCAGAGCGGAAAAACCAACCAACCAAAGCATTGTCTGCAAACCTGACAATCGCATTAAATCTTCACAGGACGAGAACTCGTCTTTCCGTGGGTAACAATCGTCTTCAAGTAGGTATGTTGGCCTGATGCAACAAAATTTGTAGGCAGACGCCTTCAATTCTTTCAAATCACGAACACCGGCAAATATCTTTCTATTTAAATGTTTGATGTCATTGTTATTAAAGTCGATTTCCTCAACAGAAAGATCATCGAAGGCGAAATCGGCAATTTCTGCGATCTTGTTACTCGAAATATCTAGATGTTTGAGAGATAAACCAGAAAAGGTATAAGCGGATATTTTGGTAATCTTTGTACCTTTTAATTGTATACTCCGTATGTAAATAAGACCTTCGAACGCACCCGCTTCTATTGTGGTTATTTCAGAACAGCCATGTAAATTCAAAGATGTCAAATGTAGCAAAACGTGAAATACCTTTCTGCGAATAATTCTAAAAAGATTATAACTTAAATCAAGTGTCTTTAGATTGTAAATATTAGTGAACGCTTTTCCTGATAGTTCCCTTAAACCAGAGTATGACAAGTTCAATCTTACAAGTTGGTTCATGGATAAGTACGAATCCTCTAAGATTTCACTAACATTATTATTTTTACTGAGATCTAAATATCTCGTGTGATATGGCAACATGCTTAGTTCTTCCATATCGAAATCGCTCTCGCGACAGTCAGCTGTCCAACCGACACAGGTACAGTTTTGTGGGCACTTGAAACCACAAAGGAGTTCGTCGTCGCCATAAGGACAATGTCTTTGTCCGTCACATATCTGATCCAAGGGTACACAAATCTTGCTCGAAGAACACTTAAATCCATTTGAACAATACTCTGTTGCAGCGACTTAAATTACAAAAAATGAGTTGAAATTATTTAATAGAACTTTCATATATCAACAAACACATGAAGGTAAAATAGGTCAATTTAATATAAGATACATACGGAAATTCTACAATAGAATTGTAAGATAATTTATCTTACATATCATAAACGTATAAATGAAAACTTTATTATTTCAAGTATTGTTTTTTATTTGTTTTCTCATCTAGACTGATTTTCCTAATTGTGAAATGTTTGTAAATGCTGTGCATGTATAATTTATTGAATAAATAAATTTTTAAGTAATATTAAACACATTAACACATAAAAACAAACCGACAAAATTTATCCTAAAACACAAAATAAGTACATTCAAAGTAATGTATCAATTACTAAAGGTGTACTTATCTTCATGTATAATTTTAAAATTGATTGTGTATTGTGTGACCTGTCTAGAACGTATATCTGATTAAGAACAGAAGTGAGTCAAAGAACCATGCTCAAGTTAGAAACTTGATAGATTTAAGTGATACTTTGCTGATGTTTTCTTTTATAAAAAATGTCAGGATTACTTATTTCATTTGGAGTTTTTTGAAATAAAAAGTAATTTTTTTCGTGATCTCGTAGAGGTTCTTTAGAGTATATATTTTATTCTTGAACAAGAATTTAGTTTTAGACA